GCGGCCCAGGTCTACAGGAGTCCTATGGGGGGGGGCGGCCCAGGTCTACAGGAGTCCTATGCGGGGAGGGGGGGCGGCCCAGGTCTACAGGAGTCCTATGGTGGGGGGGGGGAGGCTGAGGCACAGACACTGGCAAGGAGAGCAGGCAGCGCAGTCTGTCCTGAGCAACCAGAGCTGTCTCCAAAACCAGAAAAGAAAAACAAATCAAAACAAGTGTCCCTAACTGGAGCAACACTTCAAGTCCCAGAGCTATGGAACAAACAAGAACCATAAAGTCAAAACTTAGCCAGCACTCGGGAGAAAGAGGCAGGCGGATCTCTGAGTTCCAGGCCAGCCTGGTACAGAGTGAGTTCCAGGACAGGAACCTGGAAATCTTGTCTCAAAAAACAGCAAACTAACAAAAACCCCACGCAGCTTAGTTGCAGTAAGCCTGATCTGAGCAACTGCTTCCTTCACTTAGACAACAGTGAAGAGCTGTTTTAATATTTTATCTGCTCTATACAGCTACTACTTTTTTCTCATAGGCAGAATCCAAACAAGCTAAAAGCGTTCACCTGTATAACAGCAGAAAAATAGAGCGCTCGTGTCCATCACTGAAGACTTATTCACTAGGTAAACACACATCCAGTGGATCCACATGAGGCCCTAACATCATCCCAGGAAGGGATATGTAATTGGTATGTCAAGGTAACTTTAGATAAAAATTCAAAGGAGCGACCACGGGGAGGGGGGAGTTCAGATGTGAAACAAAGAATGTGTTCCCATGGACACACGTGTAATGCACAGAAATGAACAGTGTAAACGACTTGAGACAATCTGGATGTTATGCAGGTTCCCACTACAAGCCAGCACCAGTTACAAGAAGCTGCCAACCGGAAACAGGTGGAGGGAGACTGACTTTCACTGTCTATCACTTCTGTTTCCTTTGGCCTTTGAACGATGAACTTGTAGAGTCTGTCTTTAAAATTTTTAAGTTAGAACTGACCTGACCAGTTCTGAAATTCCTTTTCTCACCACATGTGGCCCAAGAGTGACAACTGAAGATGGCTGTCACCAGCTACAAGTCAACCCGGGCACCACCCCTGGAGCAGCGAGAGCTTCAAGGCTTCCTCACCTCCCTCCTCACAGCAGGGCTACCTCCGGGTACCTACTGCTCCATCCCACCCTCTCAATGTCCCGGTAAGTCCGAAGATTTGCCTAGGTCAGGGAGCACTCTGCAGACCTGACACTCGTCCCCACACAACACTGAGCCTTACCTGTCCCCCGCCCCAATTCTCTGCTTAAGACCCTTGCCATCTCCCGAGGCTGAGCGTCCCCACAGCACTGCTTTCCCCGGCCTCCGAACCCCACTGGGTTTTGTGTATCTATCACCACCTATCGTAGTCTGCCTTAGTTACATGTGAGTCATTCTAGGGTAGGGGGAAAGTGTTGCTCACGGCCGGCTTCCACAGTGCTGAAAACAGCATCTCTGAAGGGTTTCCACCTAGGTGTGCTAATACAAAACCTCCTGCAATACTGATTGTGTTCTACAAAGGCACGTTCTGGAGAGCCTAATAAACAAAATAATAACGAGTAAGGTTCGCAACCGACAAAGGACCAGTTCTTGTCATCCAGCTTGACCTGGGCAGTGGTGCATTTTTGTTTTAATGGGGGGGGGGTAAAATATAAATGCCTAGGAGTAGGGTTCAAGAAGCATCCACAAAGGCCCACCACACAGTCACTCACTGTTACCCGGCAGGCCACAGGGGAGGTGTTTTGGGAGTGCTGAAGCACAAAGTGCTAGATGATAAGGAAAAAGAAAAAGAAATTCGGTGCGCACAAGAAAGGTCTGGGCAGCCACCGTACAACCAAAATGAGCATGCCAAAACTCCAGAAGAGAGGGAAGAAAAACTGCATCGAGTTCAACTGAGAAATGGGGGGGGGGGGGATGATGATGATCAATTTGCATGCAGCAAGACCATAGGAAGAAAAAAAATTGTTAAAAACAATTCTCAGAAAACCCAAAAGGCCTTAGGTAATGTTTTATGAAGCGGTATTAACCTTGGAATTTGAACATGGGTTTTGCAAGAAGAAACTTACGAAAAAAAAATCATTAAACAATACTACTGGCTGTTCTAGCTTTGCAATGGTGGTTCCTGTTGAAAGTCCTGCTCTCTGAGACCTAAAACAATGCATCAAGAACTACACTATTTAGTCTTCGTATTTGTCAAAAGCATTCGTCACATCATTCTAAATTTTTATCCTTTAATTCAAGTGCAACGAGATTGGAAATTAAACAAGATGCGAATTGAATTCTTTCATTCCTCCCTTTTTTGGTACAGAACAGCTCATCTTTACGCAGGAGTGGGGAAATGCGAACTTCACCCTTCACCGCCTTCTATTAAACGATTTATCAAAGGACCAGGAGGCTTAATCTACAGCCCCCGGAGTTCACAAATCCCACTGCTTCCTGATGAAGCACAGTGGGAATAATTATAACAAATGAGTTGCATATAATTCTACAAACTTAGAAGATTAACCCCTCAGTCATTTACAGCCTACTCCAGGCACCAAGCGAGAACTCGGGAGGAGATAAGATCCCACAAGCCATAGTAAATCCAAGTGACAAATTTTAAATCCTGGAGCAGCTTGTCGCATTTCTGAGGGTTTAGAGAAGACGCATTCAAGTGCAAGTCAGAGCAAAATTTCCTCCGCTCTGCCCAGCCTGAAATGATGTAATAAACGAAGAAGACAGTCCTTGTGCCTGGTGAACGTTGCTTATCTCGCACGGGCAGAACTAGAAACCTTGTTTTAAAATGGATCGCTAGACCGAGTAATCGAGTTCAAAGGAGGCGCTGCCACACCGATCAGGATGTTTGGCTGCCTTCGACCGTCAAAGGGAACAGCCACCAACCACCAGGTAAAAGAAAAAGGACGCAGCTGGTTTGTTTGCTTCGTTAAGTAGCGCCCACGGGAGGGTAATCCATTACCAAATAGCAACGTTTCAAAGTTGTCTTGTCGAGAGAATGACTGTCCCAACCCGTTCAAAGGCTTAAAATGTGCCCCCGACTCTCTACATCGAGAACTCGCCCACCACATCGCCCAGCCGGACGCCACTCGGCTGCTGCCCTGGCGTCCGCGGGGCCCGACCGCCCTTCCCTCGGCCCTTCTCCCCGGAGGCCCGACCCCTTCCTTCCCGCCGCGGCTCGCAGTGCTCGCAGCGCCGCCCGGCCTCGGGCCCCACGCGAGGTGTCA